TGTATTTGCAACGATCCAAGAGAATTAAGTGCGGATTTTATTCCTGATGCCTTGATATTAACGTCAATACACTCGTATGATGGGACCAAATTTTGAAAGTCGTTCTCTTGCTTTGAAATATCTACTCTGATAGTATTCAAAAGCATCAATATTTGACTGTCTGATCTGTGTTTTGTAAGAAACTCCAATTGTTCGGATATATCTACGATGGCTTTTCGTCGCATTTCGATGTCCGAAAGGTCAGATTCGGACTTTTTGGTAAGCTTCTTCTCAATTTCATCAACTTCCGTCATTAATTTCTTTTCTAGTTCATCTAACTCTTGAATTAATTGACGTTTGAATTTGACTATAATTTGTAGTGTAGTCGCTTTAGCTTTTGTAATGTTTTCCTTGTTTTTTGCTCTGTCATCTACTAATTGCTCGGCAGTTTTCTATAAATGCTTTAAATCTGTTGTTTCATCGTTCACCATTACTGATGACTTTAATCCGCGAGCAGCAACATCGATCGGAAGAATTTCGCCACATGTGCGATGGGTATTCACGGAGCATGTATGACAGCATAAGCTTTCATGATTCGAGCAGTAAAACTCTAAACTCATATCTGGATGGTCACTGCAGGTCTTGCGGATGCTGAAAGCCTTGTCAGTTTGAACTTCTGCATCGATCAAATGGTGTAAAGCGAGAGCCTTGATTGCTTAGTGGGTGGTGACACAATTTGCGCATAAGGGATCTTCACATCAGTGCAAAGTTTACGGCAGAAGCTGATTTTTCCATCCTAGTACATGGTCCACATATTTGACTCGAAGCCATATTTAATTTGAAAATTGGATTATGATAAATTTCATTTTTAATAGAGAAAACATATTTGCAATCGGGAATCATTTAATTTTACGTAGTCAATAGATATCTTTATATATATTGCAACATAAAAATGAAAATAGTTAATTATATGTATATATATATATTTATCTTACCTCCTATAGATATATAGGGTTAGTTACCATATGAGGTTAGTAAGGAGTAATTTCTCTTTCAAAACAAAAAAGAAGGTACGTACCTTTATAAAAACAATACGGTGTTGAGGAAAATCTGAAAGGTTTCAACAGACGAAGAAATTGATGATGAAAGATTGAAATAAATTCATACAACACTTTTAAAGATAACAAGTTGTTATTGTTGGCATTAAGGAGTTACTTCCCTTTCAAAACAAAAAAGAAATCTGAAAGGTTTCAACAGACAAAGACATTAATACATGTAATGAACGATTGAAATAAATTCATAAAACAAATTTAAAGCTTGCAAGTTGTTATTGTTGGCATTTGTTTTTTGTATAGGGACAAATGGAAGTATATTCTTAATACTATGTATTGAAGACTTAATCACTTTGATAGGCCGCTAGTTTTTATACCATTTGTTAAGCTAGTCGGTAAGATAAATTCGTTTCCCAGTGTGCTAGTGACCTAAAACGATATGTATATGGGGTCAGTAATTCCATATGGAATTCGCTCTCATCCCACATGGAATTAACTGACCCCATATATATTGTATTAGGTCACTAACACACCGTGTAACTAATAATATTTTTAAAAATTAACGTTGGATATATCATTTTATGGATTTTTTGGTTACGTGTTGCTTACTAAACGTCCAATGTGTTTATAAATATATATATATATAGTATCGGTAATGAATGGAGAGATAGTAGACATCTACAAAAACTACATTGTTTAACTAAACATGGTCAAGATTCGTTCTAAATGAACAGAAGTAAATCAAAATCTGACAGGAAAAAAGTCAAGAATGGTTCAGCTAGGAATTAATGAATAGAGTACATCGAAAGTTATAGTGCCTTCGACCGAAAAACAAACCAATTACCAATGGTGAAATAGATCAATAATAACCAAGTTAATTAAGAATTCGGAAGAAAATAAATGGTCTTAACTTCTAAGCATAAAATGTCCCCCCCCCCCCCCCCCCCCCCGTATTTCATGACCCACATATCCGGTACAGCAATAACGGTGAAACTCAACGTAGATCAAGGTTTAACAGAGCGCAAATGCTACAATTTGTATAGATGTCACTCATTCTATTTATGATTTTCCATTTTTGAATGACCGCCTTTGTATCTTATTTAGCAACGGTTAACTACGTATCCTTTAAAAAAAGTACCCTTATTCTTTAAAAGAAAATGGAACGAGCATGGGTAATTGTGCGGGATTTGACAATGATAATGAATTTACCCATACTATGGGTTAAACATAATGGTAAGTTTAAGATTTTGGTTTCCCTTTACATAATATTTCAAGATTGAAACCATCAACGGCTATTTGAAGTATATAGATCTTTAAGTCATTATTTGCACTTTGCATGAATGTCTTTACGCCCCCTCATTTACAACTGTCTTGAAAAAGGCATCTGCTGCATACAGGGAGCTTTGAAATGTCTCAAGCATGTTTTCAATTTATCGTTCATAAGCAGACTAGTTTCATTGTTTAAGACAACCTCGTACAGCAAAAGGAGTCCCAGAGAGCAAAAGGTAGTAGCAGGGGTAAACAAACCCAAAAAAATGGAAGATATATCCCCTAATAGCTTGAACTGTTCTCTTTGACATTCTATGCATTTGTTTTCGCAGAAGAAAATGATTCATTTTATAATCGACAGCTTTTATAAAGATATAAGCAGATGTGGTGTGAGTGTCAATGAGACAACTCTCCATCCAAGTCAAAATGTATATAATGTTAACAACTATAGGTCAAAGTATGGCCTTCAAGACGGAGCCGTTGCTTACACCGAACAGTAAGCTATAAAGGGCCACAAAATGACTAGTGTGAAACAGTTAAAACAGGCAAAACCAACGGATTATTCTATATATAAAACGAGAAACGCTAAACACTTATGAACCTCATCAACAAACGACAACCACAGAACAACAGGCTCCTGACTTAGGACAGGTGCATGAAAATGAAGCTGGTTAAAACTAGTTAAACTTTAAACTTTGACGCCGCATTTTAGTAAAGGTCTTAATTCCGGACGGGATAATCATAATTCGCTCCTTATTGTTAACGTTAATTTTTGTTTGGCGTGTATATTCCACAACCGCCTCAGTCGTGACGTTTAAGATTTCAATCATGGAAATATATGTATAACTGTTGCTTAAGTCAGGAATTTCGTTTAAACAAATTATCTGATCCTTTCTGAATTCTTTCATAAATACAAAGATTAGGTTATAAAGTTTGGCTGAACCTTGTGTAAAAACCTGTGTAAACGAGATGCTTTATCCCTATTCTACTTTCAGAAACTATGAGTATTTCTATGAAAGGTACTGTATGTCCTCTAACCATTTGTTAGTTGTGCAAGTGTTTCGTTCCAATATGACGAGTTAATCCTTTGTTATAAAATTACTAGGTTTGCAAACATGTTTAATCCCATCATAAGATGTTTATGCCCGGCACATGTGAGTACCCTGTAATTCAGTGGTTGTCGTCAGCATATTTATTTTTTGTTTATTATTGTTTTAATCATGAATCGTCCTGTTGTTATTCTTGTTTGATTGTTTTACATTATGTCAGGTCAAGGACTCTAATAGCTTATTTTACGGTATGATCTTTGCTCGTTGCGAAGGACGTACTGTGACTAATAGCTCGTTACATCTTAACATAGTTCCGTCATTGCTATCCACACCACATATAACATGTATAACTATTTGTGTGCGTCAATATGCAAAAAAAGTTAATCTCTCGAGATCCCGGGCTCTGTTCCAATGACTGTCTTATGAAAGATACGTGTGCTTTTGTTTGACTGTGTGACGAATGTTTTAGTATTTTGCATTCAGTTTGCGTGTCTACATTAAAAAGTGTAAGGATTAAATCGTGATGTATTGTTTTCTAATCTTTAGAAAGTCAATCTGTTTAAATTAAAAAAAAACCTCCGTATCACGGATACATGCCACGACTAAGATTATTGCTTCAAACGGGGGATCGAATGACGAATTTATAAAATTTCATTTCTGTTCCATCTTCACAACTTTCAATAAACAACATTTTGAGTTTCAAATCCGAGACCATCCATTAAGATTTTCATTTATTTTTCATTTCATATTTTATGTACTCTTCCTTTAATATTTTTTGTGTGTGATACTTTTTCATATCATGCTACTGGCTTGAGCTAGACAATTATCGCTAGTATCTAAGGCCTGTTAGCAACAGCGTATTTTTCTCAGTCGAGCGACATAGCAAAAGGTAAACCGTGATAAACGGACTCAGATCTGTACTTAGTGTCTTTTTATTGTTGGGATGTACAAGTACCCGGCCATATCGGTCAGGGGGGGGGGGGAGGGGGGGGGGGGATCCCGCTAACATGTTGAACCACGCCACATTCTGTGTGTATGTACCTATCCCAAGTCAGGAGCCTGTAATTCAGTGGTTGTCGTTTGTTACTGTGTTACATTTTTTTTGTATATTAATTACGCCGTTAGTTTTCTCGTTGTAATTGTTTTACATTTGTCATTTCGGGGCCTTTTATAGCTGACTATGCGGTATAGGGTTTGCTCATTGTTGAAGGCCGTACGGTGATCTATAGTTGTTAATTTCTGTGTCATTTGGTCTCTTGTGAAGAGTTGTCTCATTGGCAATCATACCACATCTTTTTTTTATATCATGAGATTATCAATCAATAGTCTTTCGAGCTAGAGAACGTTTCGCGGATACATCTCATCTTAGGGCTTTCGCCTTCGACAAAATTGTAGCTGATATACACCCTCTCGCTTGAAATACCATCGATAATCTATATTTACCTTGGGTTTATACGAAAGAAAAAATATATATCAGGAAGTAAAATCCCTTATCTATTCAACGAACAATAACCATTTAAATATCAATTTTGTTGGTTTTCATAACATACACACCATCAGTAGTTCATTTGTAAAGGGCTCACACATTTCTTTTGTAAAAAAGTAAAGTGAGTGTGTTATTAAAAAAACTAAATAGAGATATTATACATACTGTCGTCGTTGTCTGACGCAACACAGTTATCTTCCCTTTTATACTGATCAAGAATTCCTTTAATTCGGGTATAATGACATACTTTTACATGGGTTGTAAGAGTTGTTTAATACTAAAGATTTAAGATCACTTAATCAAAACTACAAGCAAAACACCAAACATTACAAACTGAAACAAATTAAAACTAAAACATTCATAATGTAAAAAACAAATAGTAAAACAAAAACAATAAAAACATAAAACACAAAACAACCAAAACACAAAACAAAGAAAACAACGGAAAAAAATGAAAAGAAAAAATGTTACAGGTGGATAGAATTATTCGAAACACTCAGGTTTTTTATCCTCAGGGATAGATTTCCTTAGCCGTCATTTGCACCATTTTTTGAAATTTGTTAGTTTAAATACATAAATATATATTTTTTTAATAATTACTCTAAATATCAGCACGACAATGTTAAATCTGCAAATTTGCGATGGCAAATTTTTGTTCTTCCCTCGCCGGGATTCGAACTCATGCTATTGGGATATCGAGACAACACCGCTTGCACTGTATCTAGCGCTCTAGACCACTCGCCACCTAGACTGAACTAAAAAAATCAGCTTTCGGTGGCTTATTGTTACATTTTTTCGTCAGTAGAATCTAGAGTTGTAACACAGTACATGATATATTAGGCATGGAGATGGAATATTTTTTTTAATATATACATAGGTTTGGAAAATCTTACTTTCTGAAGAATCAAACTCATTCCGAAGCAAATAGATACACATTAGATGATCAAAATGCTGGATTTGTTTTATCCACAATATATTTGTTGAGTTTGGTGGATTGATATTTCAACAGACAGTCTGTATTCCAGTGGGTCCTTATTGTGTACTTCTTTTGGCCGACTTGTTTTTGTATTCATACAAGGCAGAATTCATAAAAACCATCCCAAAGACAACAAAAACATCCCCAAAGTTCTTTTATTTACTGTTCATGTATATCATGTATAATGAGGTTGCCCTGTCCACGCCTTCTAAATAGCAACTTCAGTCAAAGAATTTATCATATGTCAACAAGAACCTTATTATGCCATTTATGATTACGTTCTGTAAAGTATGATGTTGTTTAATTCAGTCATCAAAATAATTTATCCTCAAGTGAAGGCCGGTACATGTATATCATTGAATTATCATATTAAACACGATGATAATCAGCTTCTAATTTCACACAGACCAATCATACTAAAATGGTAATACTGATGTATGTAATGTGGGAAACAAAACTCAGTAATTATCAACAAAACAAATCATGATCAGACAAATTAACAATCATAAAACAATGATAAGTCACTTTAGTGTTTCCTGCTTTCCTAAGTACAATCAAATATCAATACTTGTTTATCTTCACGATGATATCCATTTGCTATGTACAGTTTAGTATAATTCTTGTTGAAGGCAACAGCATATGGTTGCCGTAATCCATCTTCTGACTTCAGTAGGATGTCCAGAAGCTTCCTATTTAATGAAAGACGATGTAATTTATTTGATTTCCGGGTTATTACATACAGATTCTCTTTACCGTCAAATGCTAAGTCTACTGGTCCTTTGAAATCAGGAGATTTATATGAGAAGATAACAGATCCATTGATATCAATGCAATGGAGTGCACTACTATTTGTCTCACAGCAATAGATCATATTCGCTTTATATGCCTTTAGTGAAAACAAGTAATCACTCCCATCATTGAATGTTTTCAAGTGAAATCCTGTCATACTGAGGAAATAAACTTTTCCTTTCCCACCTAATACTAGTATGTCCTTAATAACAGTTACTCCATAGGCCGTGTTGGGAACTTTCATTACTGTACCTGGTGTCATACTGGTTATGTCAACAAACTGAACCGTATTAATGGATGGTAATGTTACAACTGCTTCGTGAGTTCCTGGTATCATAGTTATACCCCACGCCGATTTTGTAAGTGCACAGTCTTGAATGTGCTCTCCTGTCTTTGACCATAACGATAATGCTTTACTCTTGACTCCGGAAAATCATAGCAGTAATCTATTGTCGTTCGTTACTAAAATATTGAAGATGTAACCATTTCGATAAGGAACATCAATTTTCTTATTTTTTTGTTTTAATGGCATTTTGTCATATTCTGACGGTATCTGGGCTTCTGCGTGTTTATGAGGTCTGTGAACAATTGAACAAGGAACATATTTTAATTCCACTGATCCAAAGAGAATTAAGAGTGGACTTAATTGCTGATGCCTTGAAGTTAATTTCACTACATTCGTAAGAGGGGATTATATCTTGAAAGTCGTTCTCTTGCTTGCAAATATCCACTCGAATAGTATTCAACAGTATCAATATTTGGATTTCTGAGCCGTGCGTTGTAAGAATTTCCAATTGTTCTGACATATCTACGATTGCCTTTCGTCGGATTTCAATGTCTGAAAGATCAGATTCTGCCTTTCTTGTATGCCTTTTCTCAGTCACATCAACTTCTACCATTAATTTCTTTTCTAGTTGATCTAACTCTTGAATTATTTCACGTTTAAATTTGGCTATCTTTTGTAGAGTTGTCACTTTAGCTTTTCCGATGTTTTTCTTGTTCTTTGTTCTGTTCTCTTCTAATTGTTCGGCAGTTTTCAATAAAGCCTTTAAATCTTCTGTCGCATCGTTTAACATCACTGAGGTTTTTATTCCGCGTGAAGCAACACCGATCGGTAAAAGTTTGCCACATGTGCGATGGGTATTCACGGAGCATGTACGACAGCATAAGCTTTCATGTTTCGAGCCGTAAAACTCTAAACTCATATCTGGATGATCAATGCAAGTGTCTTTGATGCTAAACGCCTTGTCGGTTTGAACTTCATTGTTGATCAAGTGGTGAGAAGCAAGAGCTTTGATTGCTTTGTGAGTATGGACGCAATCTGTGCATAAAGAGTCTTCACAATCAGTGCAAAATTTTACAGCTGTGGCTAATTTGTCCATCCTAGAACATGGTCCACATATTTGAGTGGAAGCCATATTTATTCTGAAAAATATGAAGTTTGTTAAGTTTCGTTTATGTCGAAAAGCTGGTAACTGTTCATACAATCGGGAACAATGTGATTTCACTTAGTAGTCGATTACTTTATACGAAAACGAACACGAAAGACTTACTTACGGTTACATTTAACAACATAATCATAAGCTTTTTGCAGTTATCAAATACATATAACAAATACGTAACATAAAAACATTCTGGAAAAAGTAAAATAAGAAAAATACCGAACTCCAAGGAAAATTCAAAACGGAAAGTCCGTTAGTAAATGTCAAAATTAAAATCTCAAACACATCAAACGAATGGAAAACAATTGTCATATTCCTGACTTAATACAGGCATTTCTTTATGTAGAAAATGGTGGATTAAACCTCGTTTTATAGCTAGCTAAACCTCTCACTTGTATGACAGTCGCATAAAATTCCATTATATAGACAACAATGTGTGAACAAAACAAACAGACATAATAGGTAAAAAATGTCAAAAATAGGGGTACAGCAGTCAACATTGTGTTATAATCTTAATCACTATAAAAACAAACAAATATGTCAACAAAGAAAAACAAAATGGCATAAAGACAAAGCATATAAGCAAAAATGAAAGAAAAGGGATTGTTAAAAGCAACATATGTTAAAATGCATAAACACAGCACATTCATATCAATTAGCATGCAGAGTACAACTAAAACTGAGGTATAATACAATTAAAAATAATTAACACCGTATAACATCATTAAGAAATTAAGTTTTAAATTCTTATATTGCAACATGTATCGATGAAAACCGTTATGTATATATCCGGATATGGTGTACAAATTTTTGCACCTCATGTTTGCGGTATATCATCTTTTCCGCAAGTTTATTGTTTTCTGTTTGGTAATAAATTAATAATAAGATATATTTTGTTACATCGTGTGATCCGATTATTTGGCAATCGCCAATGGTAGTCAGCAGGGTTTAGGAACATCAGTTGTTCGACCTGCTAGTCAAATGCGTTTTGTTAAAATATACTTTTTCACTCATTTGGTCTTTTGGAAAATGTTGTTTGTGCTGTATTTAGACCCCTCTACCAAGAAATTTGTTTTGCATGCACACGTATAAAAATTGCGGTTTTTATCCAACGCAATCATAGGTTTGGACGTTGTTTTCAATTTAGACTTGTTTATATTTTTTTGTTTGGGCTTGTATTATATTTGCCTTCGGGTTTATATGATCCGTTCATCCTATTTTGACTCTTTCAAAATTCAAGAGTCTACCCTAAATTGAGGTAAATTATATGGCCTTCCAAATACCGTTTCGATTCCTAACATCACTGAAGAGACATTAACTGTCGAAATCCGGATATGGTGTACAAATTTTTGCACCTCTTGTTTGCGGTATACCATCTTTTCCGCAAGTTTATTGTTTTCTGTTTGATAATAAATTAATAATAAGATTTATTTTGTTACATCTTGTGATCCGTTTATTTGGCAATCGCCAATGGCAGTCAGCAGGGTTTAAGAACATCAGTTATTCGACCTGCTAGTCAAATGTGTTTTGTTAAAATATACTTTTTCACTCATTTGGTCTTTTGGAAAATGTTGTTTGTGCTATACTGTAGTTTCAGAAATGTTCATGGTATTTTTATTGTTCCGAATATTGCGACATGATAACTTTCAAAGAAATGAAAACTCGCACTTTAAATTTTCATATCATTATTTGTATCTGAGACTACGATAACGCAGTGTTATCTAAGTGCAATAGGCTATTAGCTTACAGGGTACGACCCCTTAAAAATGTAAACCGTCCCCAAAATAGTAGATGCTTCATCACGGAACTGTGCCTATTTGCTTTTGACCAGACGTATCTTAATCAAAACAAAATATACCGGGTGTATAAATTACCCTACCGTCCTTGTTATTTCCAACTATCCTTAAAAACGATAGCAATGCTTTTTTGTCTATGATTGTTTGGTGAATGGTGCTTGCTTAACGTCCAGTGGCAAACATTTCA